CACGAGCACATAATATTATTATTGAGACAGGGCGGTACTCAAACTTCTAAAGGGCTATAACTTTGTTACTTTAATTTTACCATAAAAATGTTAAAGGAAAAAAACATTTCTTTTGCTCAGATATACTCACTGTTAAAATAAATGACTCACTCAAATTCAAATCCTCCAAAATTAATATTTCTATTAAATTAGAATCATGGGCTCATTTCTTGTGCATTCAAGGGAGATATGGCTTAAATCTGCTACTTTGATGTTGTCACAGTCGCAACAACTATTCTCAATGATTCCCATTCTGAAAAGTTGGTCTCCGAAGGTACCGTATTTAGTCTCAATTTCGTTATCAGGGTTAAATAAAACCTTCCGAATTGATAATAAAAAATGCGTGGTGACCTGACTGGTAAAGAAGGATTAGTGATTTCATACGGGATTCTGGAGTTACTACAATATTATGCTTCATCGCTGCCTCCATGAAGCTGCTATATTATCTTTGAAAATATTATTGATATCATTTATTGAAACATATTTTTTATATCCAGAATTTTCTACAAAACAAGCTTGCTCCTTTGTCTTTTAAAATTTCGACCAACGAATTCCAATAGATTAGAAGGAGACAAGCCTACCAATGCATACCAAAGTGACGAACCTATTCGTCGACGTACATTCTTTTTTCTGGAAAGGATATTCATTTGGCTATTCGTACTGGGCGTTCTCACGTAGAGCAAGACAGAAACACTATCTGTTGTGAATCGCCCAGTTATTAACGGTACAGCATATTAAAAACTCGTGATTTTGAAAGCGTAACAATTTTCTCTATCAAAAAGCAACAATGACGGAACACCTGATATTGGAAATAGTGGGACACCTTGCATGAATTATACTCGATTATTCTAAATAGTTGTGATTTGAGCAGATTCTTGGCTAAAAGAATGTACTTACAGGGTTTGTCTGGAAAGTAATAGGACTCATTTTCTTCCGCCATGCCTGTACTTCGGAGCGTGCACGCACTGACTGGATTCGGTAGAGGGCGTTCCTAGCTAACGAATGAGCGGCTGGTCAGTTGTCTCCGAGCACTTGGAGAGTCAGGACAGGCATTTTCGCGTGTTTCTGTGAGTGGTGCAAGCCGAAAATGCAGCGTTTGTTAGAGCAGACGTACGCGATTAAATTCTGTGTGAGACTCGGTAAATCTGCGACAGAGATGTTTGATATGATCAAGCAGGCTCACCCAGGTGTTGCTTTAGCAAGAAGTGGTTGTTTCGGTGGTACCAGGCTTTTTTGGAGTGCCGGGAAGAGGTTGCTGATGAAGACCGTGCTGGAAGACTTTCGACTTCGACAAACACCGATAATGTGACTCGTGTGCGCAAAGTTTTGAACTCAGGCCGTCGACTAACTATTCGTTTAATTGCCCAGATGTTAAATTTACCAAAATCTCTGGTTCATGACATTGTGACACAGCATTTGAACATGCGCAAGGTGTGCGCGAAGATGGTCCCAAAAGTGCTCACCGACGACCAGAAATTGCGGCAAGTGGAAGTGTGCCAAGAAAATTTGAACATGTGTGAAAGTGACCCCCAATTTTTGAATAACGTAATCACAGGTGACGAGTCGTGGATCTTTGAGTATGATCCCGAGACAAAGAAGCAATCTTCCGAGTGGCACACGATGGCGTCTCCTCGCCCAAAAAAGGGAAGAATGAGCAAATCCAAAGTGAAAACGATGCTCATTGTCTTTTTTGCCATCAAAGACATCGTCCACCATGAATTTGTTCCTCCTGGACAAACCGTCAATGCCAAGTTTTACGTGGTAGTGCTTAGGAGACTCAAACGCAGGGTCAGTCGGGTCCGTCAAAACATCGCAGCCGACTGGAAGTTGCACGACGACAACGCCCCGGCTTTCTTGTGAACAGCCCAGATGTGGCCCCCGGACTTTTTTTTGTTTCCTCGCCTGAAAAGGCCGATGAAAGGCAAGCATTTTGATAAGACAAAGGGAATCTAATGCACCTCTGCTCTCGAGGCTATTCCGGAGAATGCCTTCCGTGACGCCTTCAATGCTTGGAAATCGCGCTGACAGCGCTGCATCGACGAAGAAGGAGCCTATTTTGAAAGTTTTTAAAGAATTGTAACGATTGGCTCAATAAATTTTTTTAAATCGACTCAGTCCTATTACTTTCCGGACAAACCCTGTAGTTGAGCATAATATGGAAATCCCTGCTATTATATCACTGTCACTATATTCATCCATTGAAAGGATTTTTAAGTATTCTAATTCGATGTTCATAGTTTTTACTTCCTATGCGAAAACTGGCAAGGAAGTAGGTACTGTAATCGCAAAAATTTGGAAATTGAGATATTATGTTTGGATGTTACGTGACATGTACATCAGCTTTTGTCCATATTCCTTGTGAGGTCCAGGATATGCAATTAAGTGGACTTGTTTCTCGAAAACTCAAACATTTAAGAGACAAAAAGGTTGTATTTATATACTAAGTGACATATAAATCCGAACACCCAGTTTAAATGGTTTTATTTTAATAAAAGTTGGTGAATGTATTTATCTTACTGTAAATAACAAGTGACAAAATTTTCAGCCTTATCAGTTGGACATTCCGGTTTTTATACTGCTTTTTTTAATTCACTAACGTTCTAAAAATGAATATTTCAGCCGCAGTAAAGAGTCAACGTTGGCGGATTTTGGTTCTTGACATCCTTTACGATCGGTTACGATGCCTAGAGTACGGAGACCTGTACGATTTCGTCAACTTAGTGAGTTTGATAGGGGCCGTATAGTGGGACTTCGGGAAGCTGGACTTTATTTTCGGGCAATTGCAGTTAGAGTGCAAAGAAGTGTAGACACTGTGGTTAGGTTTGTCAGGCATGGCTTCGAGAAGGCCGTACGCAAAGAGCAAGGGGCACTGGCCGCCGCCGTAGAACAACAGACCGTGAAGATCGCCACCTAAGATTATTGGCCTTAAGGGACCGTTTCTCCACTACCAGGTCCATTGCAAATGAATGGTTTGCAGAATCGGAAGACCTATTGGCATGCGAAGTGTTTACCGACGAATGAGAAGTTTTGGCTTGTTTTCATACCGGCCACACTGGGTCCTCCCTTTAACTCGAGAACACCGACATAATCGCCTTGAGTGGTGCAGACAACGGTCACTCTGGGATCAGGAATGGAACAGTATTGTCTTTAGTGACGAGTCTCGATTTTGTTTAGGTATGCACGATGGTCGTGCCAGGGTTAGAAGGCGACGTGGTGAAAGGAGGAATCCACAGTTTTTTGTTGAAAGACATGTTCATCACACTGTTGGAGTTATGGTTTGGGCTGCTATAGCTTATGGTTCCAGGTCACCTTTAATCTTCATCAGAGGTAACATGAACGCGCAGCGTTATATCCACGAAGTTCTAGAACCCCATCTTTTACCCTATCTTGACACCATGGCAGATCCAACTTTCCAACAAGTTAATGCCCGACCACATGTTGCAAGAGTCACAATAGACTTCTTTCAACATAATGAACTCACATTGTTACCATGGCCACCAAGATCTCCCGACTTATCCCCAATTGAGCACGTGTGGGATATGATGGGTAGGAGATTGCTCAATTTGCAACGTCCTCCTCAGACTCTAGAAGCACTTCGAGAGGAGCTGGTGGTTGCCTGGAATGAGATACCACAGGAGGACATTGACCACCTGATCAGAAGCATGCCTAGGCGCGTTGGAGAATGCGTAGCACATCAGGGTGCATCCGCACATTATTAAAGGTCAAAGGGCTTTAAAGCAGTGCAATCATTTTGAAATTTTTATCATTTACTTATTATGCTTCATTAAGTACTTATACAAAATTTTATTAAAATAAAACCATTTAAACTGGGTGTTCGGATTTATATGTCACTTAGTATATTTACTTAATCCATAGAACATAATGAAAATTGCGGCGTATATTTTTTTGTCACAAATATTCGATCAGATCCCGCTCCAGACGCCACTGGACTCAATAAATTTAATCAAGTTAGGGCTAAATTTGTTATAAATACCATCGCCAAATTACAACAAAATTGGGTGAAGGATATTTAAGAAATTCACGAAATACCTTTTTTTTTTGAATTTTGTCACCCTGTATCTTGAGAACGAATAATTTGTGGACCTATGTTTATATGATTTTTTTTCTTAAAACTACTCTACTACTATTACATACTTAATTAACACCCTGTATAAAAAAATTGCTCTTATTCAGTTTAAACCAGCAATTTAAACTGCTTTTTGCTATTCACAAAATCCTCCACCATTTTTGTCAACTATCTGGATATCTGGAACACTAGGAATGTTTGTAGCCCCGCAAACCTGCTGCTTAAGTCTGATCAAGTGGTAGTATGATAATACTGACTAGTTAATTTTCGCGGCAGACAAATCGTATACTCGCTAGAACCGCCATAATCAAAAAATGGCACTCAAAAACAAATGTTTGACAATGCCTGTGACTAATTTTACGATGGAATATAATCAATTGAACTATGGAAAAGTTACTACAATTTGTGTATTTAACATTTCTTGTACGTAATATATAAGAATTCGTACAATGATTCAATGATTTAGTAGTTTTCTCAGAAACTTTTTTTAAAAAACTTTTAAAGTCATCATCCCTCGATGCGTACTTTCTAATTCTTTTGCGTGATATCTTATAATACAAACTCTTTTCTCACCACCTCTGTGACAATCACCAACCGTATACAACGTTGTTTCATGCTTTTTCACAATCATCAGTACGGTGTAGAGCTAGTCAATGATTGAAAGCAGTGTCACTTGCATTTTTCGTCTAAAAACATGTCAGATGGTTTTTTGAAAAAGTATGGACCAATGCCTGCACCGACCCAAAATCTAAATAGTGACCGTTGTAATTCAAAATCATTGGAGTATATCCCGAAATTACCACTTTCTTACGGACTTACCAAGCTTACTTCAAAATGTCAATGAACTAATGTTTTTCTTTTTCTTATTTTACAGCAAAATGGAAGAAACAGACCTGGAGAGATACCCCGACAGAGTTGCAGAGATCTTCCGAGATAAAACCATCTTCATAACAGGAGGTACCGGATTTATGGGAAAAGTCCTCATTGAAAAGCTTTTAAGATCATGCAGTGGATTGAAAAAGATCGTCATGTTGATACGAAGCAAAAAAGGAAAAAGGCCACAGGATAGGATTAAGGATATTATGAACAATCCTGTAAGTTTTTTGACAATACAAAAATTTTAGATTTTTGAGTTCATTCATAAAAAAACTGCTTGGCCTTTTAGAATGTAGACATGTGACTCAGAACCTATTTTGCGTGTAATACCTTTTTAAGGTTTTTGCATTGATAAGTAGACGGTTTCCTACACAAACATCAATTAGCTTTGAGAATAATTTGGTTACCTTGTGTACTTGAACCGTTATCTATTTTACCCACTGTTAAGAACCTATTAGTGTTTGCGTTGGAAAAATTGTGTTGTACCTATATCTATTAGAAGCCTATACCAGATAAATATTTTTGTCAATATGTGGATTTTAATAACAGATCGATTGTGAAACTACTTAAAATATATTTTATGAGATCTTAATTTTCTTAGTGTTGGCAATTTAACACTTTTGTTAATATGTACTCGATGTAAGTTGTTTATTTGTTTTTTTCAATAAAACATATTAACCAGTTATGCAGGATTTCCCAATATTTTGTAGCCATAGGAGTACACGCATTTTTAGACTCAAAATAGCGTTAGCGTAGATAGCGAAAATAAACAAGTATGGTATTACCTATTACAATTTTATTTAATACACGCATTCGTGCGAATCTTTCATAAAGGATTCACAAATACTCTCAAGGTTAATTAGCTTAACATCTATAAAAAACGAACCTATTAACAATAAAAAATAAACTCAAATGTTACTTATTAATTTAAATTAAACTTCATAAAATTTGTTGCCAAGAGTAATCTGACACTGAGATAAGATTCCACAATTCCGCCAACTAGATGCCTACTAGATTTTAACACTTGATGTAATAAGAAATTTTTTTAGAAACCAGCTTCGAAAAGCATTTTTTTTCTTGAATTCTATACGAGATGGTCTTTTTATAAGAGGGAAAAAATGATGTAATAGAAGGATCTTTTAAATAAAGAAAATTGAGAGTCGCTGGGAGAGCTGCGAAAATATACTGCTGTAATTTATGTCGGGATGGGGGTAGTTTTCAACCTTCTCGAACCTTTTACAGTTCTTTATGCAAGTTAAATATTGAGACGTCTAGTAAAACACATGTGTTCCAAACTTCATTCAAATCGGACCATCGGTTCCAAAAATAAACGAAAAAGAGTGTTTTAAAAAGAAAACTTTGACACTGACAAACGAAGCACTACTGCATAGAGGTAAATCATGTCCAATCTACTTATTTTGAGTATAGAAATACGTCATACTTCTATGTCCACGGATTATTGGGACACTCGTATTATCATTGGCCAAAAAAAAAATTGTGTTACTTCGTTCTAAGTAATCAAATCTCACTAATTTTGGCTCGAGGAAAACTACGATGGCCAAGAAATGTTTTAGTAGCTCTTATATTATATCTAGACTCTGTACCATCGATTTAAAAATAAATTGAAGATCCTGTATAGTTTTCAATAAAACAAAATTACAAAAATATCCAGTGGAAAAAATAAAGATGAGAGCGGAGAAAAGGAATTTTTAGAGACATATTGCATCCAATTTCATGGTACCTTTGTAGCAGTTCTTTCACCAGTTATAATTTCCATTACCTAGAAATCCTCTTACCATTTCTTTGAAGGCTTCCCAGGCTGCTTTTTATTTCCTCTCTAAAATTTCATAGAGAATGTAAAAATTAAAAAAAGTGGTTTCCAATGATGGTCTGGATGTACTTAATGCATTAAACAACTGGGCAGTAACTCTTTCTTGAATTGAATAGGTCATTGTTCAATATTTATTACAACTAAGTAGTAGGTAACTTAACAATTTGAAATGGAAGACAAAATTTTTCTATGACATACGATACATTGACTGATGCTAAATGTTTCTGCTAATATCCATGATTATAATTTTCTGCCGTGTATTCCATTATTATCAGTATTAAGTTAGTTGAATTTTATTATAAACTCAAATAGCTTCACAACGATGTAAGAAAGAAGTATTTATTATTCAAAAGTTACTTAAAACTTCATGTAGAATCTTAACATTAAAAAAATGAGGGTTTCAATTTAAAAATCTATAGTGTAACGCGACATGCTATTTTTTGATCACCCTGTATTGTACGGCTATAGATGAAAATATGTTCCCTGAAATCAAAACTAACGTGTCCAAGCGTTTTTCCCAAAATATGCCAGGAAAGTCACAAATGGGGGTGCCACCTTTTCGTTAGGCTACCCTGTATATCTTGAAAAGAAAAGTTAATCTGAACTTAAATGGTGATTTTAATGCTTGAAATGTTAAAACGCTTTGTAAATACTTGTTTTTGAACTCAAATCTGTTTCAGTATTGAGCGGTGATTACATATATACTCGTAGTTTCTTATATCTTCAAAACAAGTAGTTTTTCCTAAAGGAGAGTCGAATGTTATTTATTTCTTAAGAAAATCTCACAGTCTTCATGACCAAAGAGACATACATTTCGGCTGGTCGGAGTCCAGATCACCGAGAACTTTATTTGGCACGAATACATATCGTCAATAGCGGCAGCTTCTGAAATAGAACTAGAATCTTTCGTTAGGGTTGAGAAGTACTTTTCTCGATATAACCTTTTCATTCTGTACAAGACCCAGGTAAGATCTGGGCCCCGAGTTCTGCTCACATGCTTGGCTAATTATCCATGCTCGATGCTATTCAGAGGAGTGCTGATCGATGATTCTTCTCTAACATACAGTCTCGAGCTGTGCCGTCGGCGGTCTAGCTCTCTTCTACTGCTATGTCAACGAGCTTTACTCCTCAAAGCTCTCCTCCATGATGCCGTCGCGCGATGTGCCTGCCAGACAGATCCGCCTGACTTCAGCCTCCCATCCTAACCGTGGCGAACTTCGTACATCTAGAACATGCCGATACGACCGCTCCTTGCTTTCTAGGGTATCGAGAATGTGGAAAAATCTACCGGAGAGGATTTTCTCAACTCTAATAACCCTAGACAGTATAAGAATCGCATTATCAAAGTATTTTCAGCTCCTCATAACATCCTCAAAGCCCTAGTATTTAGCCTTCTATCTATGTGCCTGCTCTGGTATAAAAAAGATTTCGCTTAACTTGTGCTTTTTGGCTCAAAACCGAAGTATCAAAGTTTGACACTTCAAAATCTTGGAATTTATAAAAAATGAATATAGAAACTCAAAACAGAGCCCTCGTAACAATAAAAATACATATAAAATCATTAATGGGTGAGGTATTTCAACACGAAAGCCTGTATGGCAAAACCGTCCTCATTAACTTCAAAACTAGTAAAAAAAAATAATGATGAGTAATCATAAGTGAATAATATACTGTGTTCATCTACCATGTCTTGTGGATATTTGCTTTACCCAGAATATTTCGAAACAGAGTTTTGTAAACCTACTTCAATGCACATGCACATTGCAAATTTCAACAATGATACTTTTATTTTTGCCACTTAAACAAAACACTCAATTACGAGTTGCAAATCTTTTGTATCTGCACTTTCGTCAAGTTTTAAGAAAAAAAATGTTAGTTGTTACATAAGACGTTAATATGGGTTATGATATTAAAATGACTGGTTTTAACGACTGCCATATGGTAAACGTCGCAGTCTGGGGAAATACGAGTTAGAATTGTGAATAGTTCAGACAAAACAAGAAAGTAAAATGATATGGAAACAGGTTACTAGAGCAAAAGTCGCTCGAAATCTTGATATTATTAACATATTTGCGAAAGCTTAGGAACTTCAAAGATATATGATCGGTATTTAAAAAGTTCCAATTTTGAGGTATAAATTCATCAGTAAGACCTTGGACGTTATGTGATAATATCAGTTTGTAAGTCAGCCAGATCTGGCAACCAAAAACTGACAAATGTTGAGAAACCAAAGTGGCGTCTAGTAGGTTGACTGTGCACCAGACTTGAATTGTAATGAAATCCGGTATTCGAATATGAATCCTGAATACTGTGTTTAAAATTGTATTTGAATATTAGAGATTTACAAAATCATTATTTTTGGTCCCAATAAAGTTAGAAATCTTATTGAAGATGAATTAAATGATCATATATTAATGATGTTGCAATAAATGAGCAAACCGATGTAAAAAATCTATTAGTACTACTTTTCAAGAATCATATAACTAATAATTATTGTATAAAGAGAGCCTTCAGCTACCTAAAAAACATCTATGGCTACAAATGTATGTTGAATATCAATACCAAAATTTTATTGACAAATTCTCTTGTACTTTCACATCTAAATTTTTGTCATATACAACAAGTGATAACAATGTTATAAAAAGAGTACTATATGTACAAAACTCGGACTTACGACTCATTCACGAGATTCGACTTAGGAAACGTATTTCACATAAGTTAGTCGAAACAAACTATATAAATATGAAAGATATGCCACGAAAACACCTTCAAACTTATAAAATAAAATTACCCTTCGTCAAGATGACCACAAACCACACCAGTTCATCGTAAAGCTCTGTTTGAAAGATCCTTTTCTTATAATATCTCCAAAATAATATGATGCTGTCCCTCAATACTTAACAGCCAAATCGCTAGATTCTTTAACAAAATACTATTCCAGGTTGCTGAGATCTTACTATAGTAATGAATGATGTGAAATATCTAAGTGGGTTTTTTATGCTTTCTACAAATATAATCTGAATATGCACCTAAACGTATACGATTACATCCCTCTCATTGTATTTTTTCTTTCTGCCAATCATTTCTCCCTTTTATACGTACTAGCTACATCATTGTTTTGAAACTGCTGCGCTTAATCGAATATTATTCTTGTATCTTACCTTATTCTTAAATCTTCATATTTTAAGCTCGAGTTTAGATGGGTTAGTGTGACATGTAGGGTAAAGTGGAAGACCAGCCATTCCCTTAGCAATTCATATCTTTGTACCTTGCCTTCAATGAATAAAGATGATTATTATAACTATTATTCCATGATGTGTAGATTATTAGCATTAAGATTTTTAAACATTTTACCTGCCCTGGGGGTCCTTAAATGGAGTCGTATTCTGGGGCAACTGGCCGAGTCCCCGTGACGATCTGGACGGACCCTAAAATTTGCATGTTTACCATGATTTTGTGTGAAATAATTGGGGTTTTTCGCTTCCGAGAAAATTAACTACCACCATACCTTCCGCTCTACCCGTAGACCAAGAATTTAATTAAGATTGCTTTCTTCTATTAGAGTTAACAAAATAAAATCCATAATTACCTTTCATCATTTTGAATATCCCAGCTCTTTGATTACATTTTTGACCTATATGCATATTCGAATAACCCAGCAACTTTGACTGCAACATTGGAAAAAATAACAAATCTCCCGAAATATCCTCAACTAGTGCACAATTGCGGTGTTGCAGTGTTCGTCGGTCGTTGCGCGACGGCTGGCGAACTTCCCACATCGCACAAAATCGAACCGTTTGTTCGCCGTATCAACTCTCAGCATGTCTCGCCAGAATATAGTTGGCCATGATTTCGTACGGCTGTATAGATTCTTCTGAAACTACTTTACAACCGACTGTTTGGTGTAGTGGTTAGATGCTCAGATTAGTATTTCGTCATCCCGGGTTCGATCCTGAGAACCGCAAAGCTTTTTTTTCATTTTTTTATTTGGTTCTTTAGATAATACATAAATTCTGATCACACACGATGTGCATGAACATGAAACAAGATCACATAATAATTTGTAACAGATTGCTACTAGAACTAATGTAGGAATAAGTAACCACTGATGCAGTAAAAACGTATAATAATCTCCCAAATAGTGTAAAGAATTATACATAAATTATGTAGAAACACTTAAAAGTTACTCGAATTGTTGAATCTATTGTTGGTCAAATTCGCACCTTAAATATTGTTGTTCTTGAGGCCAATGTTCTAAATACAGATTAGAGAACCTTATTTACTATAAAATTAGTTTATTGGTATGTATCTGTAAAACTATTTTTTATCTGCGGAAGGTATATTACAGTTATAATACTATTTTCTTTGTTTTAGCTCTTTGACAAAGTGAAGAAATTACTAGGTCCGGAGGTTATAAACAAATTAGAAGCTGTAGATGGAGACGTCATGATGCCAAACTTGGGCATGTCGGAAGAGGACAGGCAAAAAGTAGCCAAAGAAGCTGAGCTCATTTTTCATTGCGCTGCCACCATTAGGTTTGATGAACCTTTGAAGAAAGCTGTGTTATTGAATGTTCGAGGGACCAAATATATGTTGGATCTCGCCAAGGAATGCAAGAAATTACTGGTAAGTTGTTTGCATCCAACGTTCAGATGATTCTGCATTTCCAGTAAATTACAGACCCATATCTCTTTTACTGATTATCGCTAACATTTTAGAAAAATGCATGACCATTCTTCTTTGAGACAAATGGATTTTTTTCTGAAAAGCAGCGTGCATTTAGAGCAAACAGGAAAACGGCTGATGCAATCACAATACCTGAGTAAAGCCTTCGATTGCATCAATCACGGCATTCTTCTGACCTACCAAGCAGTAGCGACTGATGGTCTGAGGTCTGCAAAGAGGAAAATATCGGTAGGAGTTCCACAAGGTTTTGTTCTAGGCCCCATACTCTTTCTCATATATATTAATGATCTCCCGAATAATGGGTTAATGGCTCTTTGCAGTTGACACATCAATATCTCTTACAGCTAGCTCTATGATGGTAGTACAACAACAAACAGACGCTGAATTGGAAAAAGTCAAAATCTGACTTTATTCCAACAAGTTGTTGCTAAATGGTGAAAAGACTCAGCAAGTTGCGTTCCCAAGAGAGATATAAACATCCAATATTAAGATCAAGTTAAATTTCTGGGTGTGACACTTGACCCTGAGCTCCCATGGAAAAGTCATATTGATTTATATTCATAAAACTTTCTCAGAATATTCAAGTCCTCCGCTTAACTTATTCCGAGAAATGCCGTCAAAGTGTTTGTTACTTCGCACTATTTCAGTCGCACACAGCATATGCAATTATTGTTTGGGGCTGGCAGCCGGAATGCTTGGGCTGCAGAGGAGGGCTGTTAGACTGATGTGGTTCTGGGCAATTAAGTTTTTCAAAATATTGCCACTAAATGCCCTTACAAGTCCATGAGTTTCAGATTCGTATTAGAACTTTTTTGATGCAAAATGCTCTTTCATCATTGATGATTTTCTGAATATTGTTTTTAAGGTGTTGTGATTGTTCAAAACTGTTAGGTGTTATGTACCATGTCCCTCAGAGTAGATCAAATCACGAGAGAGAAGTGGTACTAGATCACGACGCCATATTACTTTGTGATTGTTCTGACTTATTGTTAATTTAATCATTGATAATACGAACGGCATTCATATTGTACACGTCGAATGCGAAGGTTAACTTGTTCTTACACTGAATTTCCGATTTCAATGTCTCGCACCGATTCAGGTTTAGGAAATTTCCTTGCATGTCGAATACGCATCTACGTATATAAGCTGTTTGTTCACCGCACGTTGTAGTACAGAAGATCTACCCCTACCACTGAATCAGTACTACGCCCTATTTCACGAATATCCATCACGTTTTCATGTCTACCGAGGTGAACAGCTGATCAACAAGCGACATCTTTGTATTAGCCTGTAACGTTGGCAATAATCATTAAATCGGGTACAAAACCAGTAAATCTTGCAACATTTTTTTGTATGCAAATGAACTTTTCTAAATAAAAAAGTTGTTAGCAAGTACAAAATTAATCTGTAGCGAACAAAAGAACCAAAACAATATACGGCTCTGTCTTGATGAATCCGTCACAATTATGTGTCATTTGTCGATATGGGAAATTTTAAAATATCACTGAATAATCAACTGTTATTCTACCGTAATGGATACTCGTGAAAAAGAGAATAGCTTTTTTCGGGTTTTTATCATTACTATTCTATCAGGAGCATGCGCAGAAGAAACCGACGTGCTCGGGTTTCTTTTAGATTAATACCGGACCGTTTTAGAACTGAAAGTTGATGTTCGAGTTATATCCTGGTTCAGTTCTAGGATGGTTCAAGAATCGTTCAAGCAGTTCTTCCTTTACTGCTGGGACCATTTTTGAACTGATTTTTTATGCATGTGTATTCCTTCTGCCAATGTCATTAAAATTATTTGACGTGTTTTGCTGTAAATGCTATACTAAGTGACATATAAATCCGAACACCCAGTTTAAATGGTTTTATTTTGATAAAAGTTGGTGAATGTTTTTATCTTACTGTAAATAACAAGTGAAAACATTTTCAGCCTTATCAGTTGGACATTCCGGTTTTTACACTGCTTTTTTTAATTTACTAACGCTCTAAAAATGAATCTTTCAGCCGCAGTAAAAAATCAACGTTGGCGGATTTTGGTTCTTGACATCCTTTACGATCGGTTACGATGCCTAGAGTACGGAGACCTGTACGATTTCGTCAACTTAGTGAGTTTGATAGGGGCCGTATAGTGGGACTTCGGGAAGCTGGACTTTCGTTTCGGGCAATTGCAGTTAGAGTGCAAAGAAGTGTAGACACTGTGGTTAGGTGTTGTCAGGCATGGCTTCGAGAAGGCCGTACGCAAAGAGCAAGGGGCACTGGACGCCGCCGTAGAACAACAGACCGTGAAGATCGCCGCCTAAGATTATTGGCCTTAAGGTACCGTTTCTCCACTACCAGGTCCATTGTAAATGAATGGTTTGCAGAACACGGAAGACCTATTGGCATGCGAAGTGTTTACCGACGAATGAGAAGTTTTGGCTTGTTTTCATACCGGCCACACTGGGTCCTCCCTTTAACTCGAGAACACCGACGTAATCGCCTTGAGTGGTGTAGACAACGGTCACTCTGGGATCAGGAATGGAACAGTATTGTCTTTGATGACGAGTCTCGATTTTGTTTAGGCATGCACGATGGTCGTGCCAGGGTTAGAAGGCGACGTGGTGAAAGGAGGAATCCACAGTTTTTTGTTGAAAGACATGTTCATCACACTGTTGGAGTTATGGTTTGGGGTGCTATAGCTTATGGTTCCAGGTCACCTTTAATCTTCATCAGAGGTAACATGAACGCGCAGCGTTATATCCACGAAGTTCTAGAACCCCATCTTTTACCCTATCTTGACACCCTGGCAGATCCAACTTTCCAACAAGATAATGCCCGACCACATGTTGCAAGAGTCACAATAGACTTCTTTCAACATAATGATGTAACATTGTTACCATGTCCACCAAGATCTCCCGACTTATCCCCAATTGAGCACGTGTGGGATATGATGGGTAGGAGATTGCTCAATTTGCAACGTCCACCTCAGACTCTAGAAGCACTTCGACAGGAGTTGGTGGTTGCCTGGAATGAGATACCACAGGAGGACATTGACCACCTGATCAGAGGCATGCCTAGGCGTGTTGGAGAATGCGTAGCACATCAGGGTGCATCCACACATTATTAAAGGTCAAAGGACTTTAAAGCAGTGCAATCATTTTGAAATTTTTATCATTTACTTATTATGCTTCATTAAGTACTTATACAAAATTTTATTAAAATAAAACCATTTAAACTAGGTGTTCGGATTTATATGTCACTTAGTATATTTACTTGCTGTTTGAGGAGTGTTTTTAATTTAAAGTTCAAAGAAAAGTGGACAAACGGATTCAATGCAAATCATTTTTATTCTGATTCGTCATCATCATCGTCGTCTGACAGTGATGATGAACTCCCAACTTATTTTTGTTAGAACTTCTCAAACATGTAAGCAAAAATAATAGTTTCTTCGAAGAAACTGTTCCTGACAAACGGTTTATTGAGCATTTTAGGTAAGGTATCTTTTATCCAGCAAATCAATTTCCTATAGATCCAGGGCCACATATTGCACTAAACAAAGTAATAATTCCTGCCGTAGTCCTGGGTTCACGCTGTTCGGGTTTTGGCAAAATTCTGATAGTTCTCCCCCTTTACGCATTCAGTTTTGCGCAATTCCAGAACCGTTCTGTGACAGTACTGAATTTAGACCTCGAAAATAGCTAATATGTCTTATATTCAGTTCTACTTTATTCAGGGTGGCCAGACGTACATGTTTTTTTATACTGCAACCACCACGAAAGACTAAGGCCTAAACACCCATGAGGTACCGTGGGGCTATAGGGGGATACAGGGGAAAGGGGGGACGCCACACGGACTCTGGCGAGGAAACACGTGTGCATTCTGGCCCCGCCTACGAGATCCGCCGGGTGGTACCTCAGCATGTGACAGTCAGAGACCGTCTACCACCTACGGACAATCACAACATCCATAAACAAGAGAAAATTTTCACTTTTGTGCGAGATTTCAAAAATGATGACTTCGCGCTCAACATTGCATAATAATAATGCATGCAAAGATGACCATTGCTGGTAAATCGATGTTTCATAAACATTAATATATATCGCCTGCATAGCTACCGATGTTTGCTATTAGCTTTTTCAGTTGGTCCGGTTCTGTCGATAACTGGTATCAATACAGAATATTTATTGCCTCTCTCTAGGTCCAAAAATATGCCATCATTTAAGTAAATGTTGATCTCACTAGATACTATGAACTACCGTTTTAAAGACAGATAGATGGATATATATTGATCACATTTTAATAAATTAATTCATTTGAAGTCATAGATGGAAAAATGATTGATACACAAGTCATCTTGCAAATTACAATTAAAAAAAGAAGCAAGACCTACAAATGATAACGACAATTTAAAATTTGTAAAACAAACTTTTGTACAGAATAAAAGTAGCTCTGGCATAGACATTTATTTACTTTGTGTTTAAACGCATTATAATTTGTGATATCCCTTAGATATTCTGGTAAATTGGTGAATAGGTGGATACAGTTGTAAAATACCCTTATATATTCCGTTGTTTTATGTCTACAAAAACTTAAAAGCGTACTGTGTGTTGTATAGTTGTGGTTACTTCCAAGGAGAGTAAAACCGTCAAGGTTGCTTTTCAGAAATGTTACACTTATACTATGTAAATTAATGAATGTGTTAGAATTCCGTGTTCATTAAAAGTTTGCATGTATGACTCATTATAGTTTAGACCAAAAATGAAGCTTATCATTTTCTTTTGAGCTAAAAACACCATTTCAATATCAGTATACACTCCCCAAGTGGCAATATTGAATGACATATGGCTAAAAATAAATGTATGCTTGAAAAACCATTCTGGATTATGAGAGGTTTCATTTGGAAAATAACAAACTACGAAGTTTCTTACAGACATGATTTATGTGACTGGTAAACTTGAGATCAGAGTCTAAAAAAGTACGTAATAGCTATACACCGTATCGGAAATATATCCCAATGTCATTAAAAATATGGTCTGGTAGTTGCTTTTTGATAAAAAAAATTAAATGTTTCTTATCGTTATTTAATATCAGTTGTTTTTTTACAATGAAGTTCCATCTCAGACATAACGCTGATGATTTTCCCTTTGATCTCTTCTGGGAATTCCTCATACATCAGTACAGATGTATCGTCTTCAGACATCACTACTTTCCCTGTTTTTACCTGTTTCCGGGAGATCGTTCGCAAAAATAATTGAAATCAATGATTCCAGCTCTGATCCCTGTGAGATGAATGAAATGTTTTAGATTCTGTATTTTGTATTTTTACCGCAAAATATCGATTTTCAAAGACGTTAATCTTTTTCAAATGTTCAGGATAATGAGGAACGCCAAAAAACGAAGTTTGACCGATTCTATTTTTTTTTTCGTTTTTGGCCTTTTTCTCCGTCGCCACAGCACCGATCTTTTCTGTTCTTGGCACAGTATTAACCTTGTGAACTCCGATCAGTACTTTCCAAGTTACAGATGGGCCAAGGATTTGCGGACAGACTGACAGTCAGACCTACGGAAATAGGCGACACGGTTTTTCATCATGCGCGTGTCATATAAAGCCCAAAAGAACATGATATCCCATTAAATCTGGGAAGTAAAATCATATATTTTTCCGGTCATGTACATGATACATTCTTAGTTTCAGTTAATTTTTTGGTAGTGATGATTTGATCAAAAATGCACAAGTTTATTTTAAATTTTCAGGTATAATCATAACACAGACGTATTTTTGCATTGCGTTAAGAATTAGACAGCATTTGTTTGTCAAATACAATGAAAATGCCTCCAGCAGATGTAAAGCTTCAACAATCTTAACCTTTTACCATAATTACCTCGTGCATTGCTTCACCGGTTCAAGTATTTTACAAATAAAACAAAAAGAGCATAATTATTTACATAAATGTGTGCCAACCAACCGGCAAGATACGCGTTATGTAACGTTTTTGTTTTGCTGTTTTAAGATCGACTGACTGAGCAATCGATTTTCTACCTCAAATTTGATCAACACCTTTTGTAACGACTCTGGCTACCAAACCTTCAATTTCTGCTCCTGTTACTTCATTGTGGACATGCCCACGATTGTCCTTTGTTTATCCATCCGCATTCCGCAAAACTACTTGTCTTTCTTTGAACTTTTTAATGTAATTCGATTACATGGATAATTCAATTCAATCGACTTTATTGTAACACAGTCACACAGCCATTCATACTCAACCATGTTGTAAGCTTACTGCTACCTTAATCTAAGCCTTAGCCTAAAGGAAAATAATCAGTAATACAAAAAATGTAATTCAAAAGTATATCGTCTAGTCGGCGTTTGTACCAATCCTACCCATCAGGAATAGACATAAGATGAACATATAATTCAAACTGGCGAGAAAAAAATAAAAATGAAAAACAACTAAACATTTAATAAACAGATCTTACAGATTTTTTGGAAAAGTCGCTAATAAAGTTTTGGTCACATGAATTAATCAACTTCACCGCATTGCACGTGGAGTGTTGAAATATGGATTGCCCTGTATAATCGCAATTTTATATAAATTTACAAGCTTTTGCCTAAAGTAAGAGGAAACAGAAGTCTTTAATATTTTGATGACAAATAAATGTGACAAAGTTGTAGTTGAAAATGTCAGATATTTTTTACCAATTCATGGAAGGTATTGAGTGAGTTACATAATCGTACCTTCTTAAATTGGTACCTGCTCTATAGGGTTGACACCAAGAGCCAACAGATCTGCAACTACCGACAGTAGGGAAGAATAAATTCGGATATCGCTCCAGTCAAGTATCGGGGAATTTCTGTATATAAGCAGGACATAGTTGCCTAGGGTGCTATCAGAGCTTTATACAAAATTTTGTCTTTGCGCAACAATTATGGTGGGTTGAAATGCTTACGCTGCAAGAGTTTCATTTGGAAATAATAAAAATGAAACGGAGGCTGTGAAGTGCAAATCGGTTTTTGGGCGAAATTCATCTACTGTTTCGTCCTGCCAGTCCAAACGACGCGACTGTGCGTTCCGACTAAGAAGAAATATATTCAAATAATTTTATATCTTTCCTAAAATAAATTCAAGAACTCAAATTTAAATTCGTTTATTTATGTCAATAAACACAATTATGTTTACAAGGGTCATGTGGTAGATGGTAACAATTGAACGAGGGTCATAAAAAATCTTATGCGGTCAAAATAAGAGGAAACAGTTAGATAGTTTTTGCAAAGCAATAAACAGGTAGGTTTATAGCTGGATTAAGTACATGTCTTGTCTACTGTAATAGGTAGATGGAGCTGATGCTGCCAGAAATGGATGTGTGCGATCAATAAACAAACCACAAGATTGAACTGCCGTGTCCCATGATTTTTGTATTGCCTTTTTTTATTGTCTTACTAGAAAACTCTGTTGGGTATATGATTGTGTTTACTAGAACTTTACAGCTTGCTGTCTGCCTTTTTCTACAAACTTCACCAAATCGAGACGCTGTTAACCTCATCCTCCGATGAAGACGCCACAAAGTACAGTCCTGTGATTTGGTGACTGGTTCGATCTGCAAAATCTCTTTGACACTTTTTCTAAGTTTCCCTAAAAATTCGTGCTTAGCAACCTCCAAATCAATGTCGTTCATGTCAGGTTTTTGACAGAATTCGCCATAAAACTATTCATTTTCTTTGGAATTGCTATCCGAATTGTTAGTTATTTTTATATCAGCTATTTTTGGTTTGAATTTATTTTCAAGATTCTTGCGTTTGAGTCTGTGTTCCATCTTAGTGATAAGCGAGGTTGGACTAATCTTAGAACGCAAATGTATTTGGACCACATAGACAGGCCGCTCGGTATTGTGGCTCACTGCAGCTGCAGCACATCTTCCATGGTATGACCTATTCTTGCAATAATTTATTCGCTTACCCCAATATATTTTGCGATTATAGAGGTGAACTGCTAACACACTATTGTTGTCCTCATCATGAATTAAACTCAATGCATTCGTAATTAAAACTGTCGCATATGACCTTTAATTGTCTATTATCAACCTTGATAAAAAAAGCCACTCAAGAACAATCACATCAACAAGAGTACAACACAACAGTTCAACAACACAATATCGACGAACAGTAACAAGGGTAGAACAATACTAAATGATCACTTGCTGAGTACCGAAATAGGAAACGATTTACAGGCTAGATCGCTAATCGAAATCCGACTCTGTTATTATAAAAATTTACCTCAGTACGCACCCGCAGTCATCCTTTCCTCTTTTAAAGTAGCAAAGACGAGCGTCTAAGGCCAGCCTACCCTCGTTTCCTTTTTACCCCCCCATTACCTCAGCAGATGGTGCTCGTGATTAGGAGCCCCGTTAAGTCGTAAATTGTGATTTATGGCATATGTACGTATATATATCTTATACGGGGGATATTTGCTGCGAAATTTGGCGATTTTTGCAGCAACAGAGCGTGTTAAATATAGATATATAAAACGCACCCGGTATTTCACAGTGTTTCAAGTGACTTCAGATAAAGTATACCTATATATTGTAAGTCTAGATTAATAAGGTTGTTAGCCATGTGTTGTTCAGAGAGAAACTATAGAAAACTTGAATATCATCGGCATGAGATTGACTTGAACCGTGTTGAAGGGTGTTAGTCACATCAAAAGTATAATATGAGAAGTATAATTGAAATTTGTTTTTTTTCCAGATATTTGTGCACCTGTCCACAGCCTATTGCCATCTCAACGAGAAAGTATTACACGAAAAGGTTTATCCACCACCCGCGGATCCGCACAAGATTATTAAGACTGTCGAATGGATGGACGAAGACGTTATAGATTTAATTACACCAAAGTAATTTACTTCTTAATCACATATTTAACATAGATGTTTATCGTACTATAAGGCACGCATCCACTGACACGAATCGGACCGGATTAACGTATTCTCCAACTATATGATGTATTTGTACATTCACATGGGCACCCGTTAGGGGAGGCAAGGAGAGGGCATGTGCCTCCTTAATTTCCAATTGAGGATGAATGAAATATTTTTAATATTGTAATGAGAATACCGTTTCTATCGTTTAAAGTGTAAGGCTATTGGCGAAACTATATATGAAAATTGCTTCGAAATTCGGATCGGCCCAAATTGAGGAATGTTGTGTCAAATCAAGTCTCATTTTTGAGATCGGTAGGTTGCGCATAGGGCCCCTAACCTCAAAAAGGAAATATTTTATACTGGTAAACTTTTGAATCAAAAAAATTTCAAAACACCTTTGTTATATGCTGCATTATTGCGATTTTTATAGATTTGTAGACCTCTCAAGTTAGAGACAAAACATTGTTGATTTTTTTCGAATTTTAGGTGATGAGAATTTCGAAAACTTGAAATCTACTGTGGAACCGTTCTTTCTTGCTTTTTTTTAGAGTTCACTAACAAAATCATTAATTTTTGCTCGAAAATTGGTCAAAAATCGGAAAGACCGTATTTTCTGACATTCTAAAGGTATGATATCATAAGTTGACTGACATTAAAATTCAACGTATTACATGTATTTTTGTTCATTCTTTCACGTCTCACAATCGAAATTTTGATTTGTCCACCGGAAAGTCGCAGACATAGGAAAAACGACATTTTCGCTGTTTTTCTCCAATTTTATGTATTTTCAGAGTTGGATAACAAAGGACCGAAAGTCACTATATATTACAAATTTTCTATGCTCTTTTCAGCTATATTGTCAAAATCATGATTTCTTGCCCAAAATTCGCCATAAATCGTAAAACCGCATTTTCACCGGTTTTTCTTGATATTTGACATTTTTAGAGTAGGATAACTTGGCTGAGTCAAAAATCCAATATGTATATGTATTTTTGTGCATTCATTCAGGTTCCATTGTCATAATTGTGAATTGTGGTCCGGGAAATTATGAAAAAGGGCAAAACTGCATTTTCGCTGATTTTCTCCAATATTTTACATTTTGAGTCAGTAAAGGAGTACTTAGCTAACTAAGATATACATATGCGTAGATTAAGTTTTTGACATAGCAAAGTTCTGATATCCTAATCTAAAAACATTTAAAATTAGAAAAATCCTTGATTACGCGGTTTTTGCGATTTTTGAGGATATTCCGAAATGAAGAAATTATTATTTTACGACAGAACTGAAATGACACGAAACGTAAAAAATTTAAGAAAACCGGCGAAAATGGGTTTTTCTCGTTTAGCAATTTTCCTGGCAACAAATCACAATTTTGACATTGAAACCTAGAAGACGCACAAAAATATGTACTAGCATTGAGCTTTTGGTTCGCCATGATATCTTACTATAAAAATACCTAAAATTGGAAATTTTCAGAATTAAGAAATCATTTAAAACAACAGAACTGAAAAGAACGTGAAAAATTTATGTATACCTGAGCCAAAGCCTCAAAAATTGGAGAAAATCAGTGGAAAAGCGGTTTCATGATTTTGTTAGTTGATCTGGAAAGAACGCATGAAAGTACTTTAGGAGGTAACAAATTTTTTGAGCGAAATTCCGCCCGTAAAGAATCCTTTTCAAAAAATACGTTTCTGAGCTTAGGGGTCCCTATCGATCTGAGAATTTCGCTAAGACGATTTGATCAAATATAACATAATTTGGAATGATCAAGATTTGGATACCTTTGGGGGCAATTTTCATATGGAGTTTCGTCTATAGCCTGATGACTACGTCGACTGGACTATCGCGTTTCACGCTGCTGACCCATCATCCGCTGTCGGTCGACTTTGTGCCTGCCTCTGCCCTCTGTGCGGGTATTTATCTTCAACTCGACGAGTCCAGAGGCGCTCCCGCGTTCTCTTGACAGAATTCGAGTCTTCCTCGAAGCTGTTAGACGGTAGTAAATGTTTTTCGATTCATGATAAACGTACTTGACGCGCGGTTGCGGTTGCGTAATTGATATGAGAGTATCTAATTATTACTTAAATTCTAGTTACGAGGGCATTACGATTATAGTATAACCGTTTTTTTTTTTTGACGAGTGGCACGTATCTTTTTTTACATGGTTCTAGAATATGCGCGATACGATTGCGCGTGGCAGCATCTCACAGTTATTGCAAAGTTCTCAAGGTCATATAAATTTGTCCAAAAATTCCGCGTATATTTAAATTTTTACGAAAAAAGATGTTTGAATACGAGATACATAACTTAAACCAAAAGTATTTTTGACGTACCTACTGAAAGCCATAGTTTGACCCACGTAGCATTAATGCAATAATGAGACATATTTTTCTATACATTATTTAATCCTTCAGATCTTGTCACTAATTTTACTATAATTTATCTTTTAGACTTCTAGGAGATATACCCAACACGTACGCTTTTACCAAAGCCCTGGGCGAATCTCTAGTAGCAGATGAACTAGATAACTTACCTGTAGTTATTTTGAGACCATCAATAGGTAAGTACTATCTTCAAATATGACACCATCGGCTTTATGCGGAAAAATGCGCCTTTATTCAATTAATATGTTTCCTATATTATTTAAGTGTCGAGGAATGCTCACACTTATCTTGTATCGATAATTTATGAAACTTTTCCCTGCTGAAGTCATTATTGTGTTTGTTGTTATGTTTTCCAACCTGTGTTGTATCCCATTTTACTCATAGTGCAGGTTCAAAAGCATACTGGGGCAGGTCAAAAAATGAATAGGTTTAGAATCATAGAACCACAGAATGACAGTTGACCATCATTCCACCAGAACTAGAATAGTAAACTACCCTGCCGCTTTGCGTATATAGCAAAAATTTTAATAATTCAATTGAATGATCCTCGAGTGAAAATTTAACATCTGCATTTCGCCATATTAGTTCTCAACACAAGTTTTCAGATTTTTCAGAAATGTCAAGATTTCTAGAACTCTCAATTTTGAAAATTCTGGGAGTTCCATTAATTTTGAAAGTACGGGTATTCAGGTTTTTAAAAAATTATAAAATTTTCAGGACTTTGTAAAATTTTGAAGAATTTGAAAATTCTGAAACTGACTATTGAATTGAATTACTTATAAAAAATGTGAAAATTTTGAAAACTCAGATTTTCAGTTTTTAAAAATTGAAGATTTTAAGTACACAAATTCGAAAATTTTGGAAAATTCTGGTGATTTTGAAAATTTTGAATTTTGAGAATTTTCAATTTTTTTTAAATTCTGAACGTTTGTAAAGTTTTGTACATTTTCAAAAATTCTGAATATTTTGATTTAAAAATTTTGAAAATTTTGAATATTTTGAAAGTTTGATCAAATCTATAACTCTAAAAAATTTTAATAATTCGAACTTGACCATTTCGAAATGGATGACAAGATGAAATTTTCAATACTGTTCTAGTAGTTATATAACTCATCAAGTTTGCTGTTTAGCATCAAAATACGTAACGGCTTCTCTACTATAAATGCAGAAGGCCCCAGGGTCAATGAGGCCGACCGACGGATTATAAAGGCATTTACTCGTTACTTCTAATTCATTCGTATAAAGAACCATTAAAGTCACCAATTTCATATAGTTTTAGCAACAAACTAATTTAGTTTTAAATTCTCATGGCTTGCGCTCGCCATTCCAATTGTTACATTAAAATTTCGCGGCTGTAAAAATTATGACTATATGTTTTTTGTCATTTCAGTGATACCAATTTGGAAAGAACCAATCCCAGGTTGGACAGACAACATCAACGGACCAGCAGGTCTTCTGATTGGGGCCGGCAAAGGCGTCATAAGAACCATGTATTGCAACTCTGACAGATACGCAGACTTTCTGCCTGTGGACATCGGAGTCAACGCCATGCTCTTGAGTTGTTACGACTTTTCTGAAAACAGGTGCAGTATTAGCTGTGATGGATTCTAAAAAAATGATCTTACTTCAATTTTCATGATCATTTCACTCGAAGCCAACGACCTGAATAGATTAGGAGCCAAGCCTACATGTTTACATTGCATTGCTTGTCGCCAAAATTGTGTAGTCTTAGAGCCGTTTTACACACAAGAGAATTACTTCGAAAATTATGGTCATAATTATGCCGAAAATTTGCATGGAAAAAATATGAAGATTTTCTCTACAACCTGTATGACACAAGCAAACAAAATTTCCGAGTAATTCATATGATACGCCTGCGCATTAGAGTAATAATCGGAAGGACAACAGACGTTGTTGATTTAAATTTATTTTTGAAATCGAGATCTTGGTTAATATTATAAAACTTCTCAATGCTTGGACTATCGCATCCAGCGCCTGATGCCGCAAATTTCTGTTTTTGTAATTGGGGGACTTCACCTGCTTGTACAGGTTTGCCCATTTTTGGTACTCCTACAACAACAGTGTAACTTCTTCCCGATTCCACGACATTATGAATAAACAATAACAATAAACGCTTCTTCGTAGTACGACTCGAACAGGACCATACCCACAAATAGAAGGGTTTATCTCTGCACAAATGTTAAGTGGGGTTATGTTGTTGACGTTGACATTTGATAATGACATGCACGGAAATAACCTTCTGCGCCGATTCTCGCGCATATTCTATAGAACGGGTTTTATATTTTTACCATGAAAATTTTTACAAGAATTATTTTAGGTGTAATACGACAGCAAAAATTTTCGCATAATTATAACCATAATTTTCGGAGTAATTCTCTTGTGTGTAAAACGGCTCTTAGTGCATACTTTTGACTCGTTTGAATACCATTGTGTACCAAAGTAACAACAACATAATCATAATACTACCTTCATGAGGCCCTTTGAAAATTATACAAGAAGTACAGGGTGGCCAACTAAGAATATGTGGTACTGTATCTGGGAACCTATCCATCGTAGAGGTTTGCTGCAAAAAAGTTCTTACTAAAACGGCCAAGAGGAGATTGGAAAATATGTTCAAGTTTCTGAAATGGTCGCTGCAAGCTTGAATCTAAAAGAGTGATGTTGAACATTAGGTTCCTCAAGATTAGTACCTTTTGAAAACATATAAGCGTACCTCAAATGGAACAGGTCACAACTTACAAAACTGATCATTGTTAGACTGTATGACTGAACATTTGTAAACTTCTTGTTATTTAGATATTGATGAGAAATAATTATTACAAACGATCGCCATATCATTACTTCAATAAATTATTCCGCCCATCACTATGGAAATAACATAATAGGGGTATGTTTAAAAAGTTTCACTCATTTGATATTGCACGTTTGTTGACGTTTTTATCCATTTTTTGTGGGTTGTTTTTCCTGGAAGAGGACTTCGATGTGGATGTAACTTTTTCCTAATATAGTAATGAGTTTGTTAGTCAATGCAATAATTCTTGTAGCACGTCCTGAAGAATCAAATAAACATCTTCGAAAGATTCACATTAACACAGCACAAACTTTTCTTCCGACCTGATGTTCGGTTGCGTTGTGCTGCTTCCTCAAACATTTTATCGGTTTGCATTATAGATGTATTTTTTTCACAGGAAGCGACGGATATACAATTTGACAAGCTCTTCGCTGTACAAGATCTCGTGGTCGGACATCATCGAAATCGGTAGAAAAGTAATAGAAACGAGGATGCCATTGAATAATGTCGCTTGGTACCCCGGCGGGAGCATGAAAAAATCCAGGATAGTCCACAACATCTGTTTTTATTTGTTCCACATGCTGCCAGCCATATTTGTAGATACTTTATTGTACATATTAGGATTTAAACCAATGTAAGTATAGAAAACGGAATTTGGGATGGCGTTTGCTAGAAAATTAGGATATCTAGGAACCGTTTTTCAAGCGCTAACTATTATTAGAGAGAATAAAAGTATAATGGAGAGGAACTGGACCTACTAAAAATGTTTATAAGCTCATTAAGGGAGAAAAGTACAGAGCCGCCGAAATAAAAATGAATATAAATACCTGGAATACTGAGAGTTGACCTACTTGACACAATTTTAACTGCAGGGGAAGAAAATAAGGCTTATGGTCACATTTATAGCCGTTTCTTGGTGATTGACTGCACTTTGAGGAATGGTCTCTCTTTGGGAGGCCTTGAAATTTGCATTTCATTGGCAACAGTTGTAATCACAGATTCTTAGAATGTGTAAACATTCCAAATTTCTCAAAATTTTCATAATCTTCAATATTTTCAGGATTCTCAAAATATTTGAAATTTTCAAGACTCAAAATTTTCAAAATCTTAGAATTCTCAAAAAATTCAAAAATTTCAGGTTTTTCAAGATTTCCAACAACTTCAAAATTTTCAGTATCTGCAATATTTTCAAAATGTTCAAATATTCTAAAATATTCAGCATTATTAAGATATCCAATTTTGTAAAATTTTTCATGTTTTCCAGTTTTGGTAATTTGCAAATTCAACATCCTTGCATACTCAAAATTTTCAAGTTTTTTATGATTATCGAAATTTAAAGATTTCCAACAGCTTCAAAATGAAAAAAAAAAATTAAATTTCAAAATTCTTCTGTAAAATGTACAAATTTCTCGAATTTTTCAAAGATTTTCAAGTCAAAGTTAACACTGAAAATACCACAAAAATACGCAAAGGTTGTATTTCTGAAAATAATCTTCCAAATCTCAACCACGATTACACGGAAAGAACGACACCTCGAAGCAATTTGACTGGAAACACGTCGTCGCCATATTGCATTGAATATACCTCACCTCAGCAATCATGCAAATATCAAGTCAACTATGATTAGTGTTACTGTGATGTGCAATGTTTATTTTCTTTCAGCAATTTTTAACTGTGAAGCGTGATGAACCGCGGTTATTCCTTGGTTATGCTCTTGATTATTGCCATTTGACCTTCTGACACAGAACAGAGAGCTGAGAACATGGTGGCTATACGCAACTGTTTTGTGGTCAAACGTCAACAATTATAAATATAATTCAAATATAAGTGTGGTAAATGCTTTACTGTGATATTAACAGCGCACCTAATTACATTGTTTAAGTTCTACACAAAAATAAACAATGCATAACTCGATAAAAACTCAGTAGATCTGCGCCCATTGTCATCTTTAATCGTTTTTTTTCCACTGGTAACCTTTTGCGGAAAATTATTATTAAGTCACAACAAAACAAACACAAAAAGCACAAATGTTATATTCATGGGTTGACATTTGACCTTCAGCTGTTACAAACCGCGCGAGTTAAAATGAAAAAGTTGAAACCAAACACAACCGCCTATGATACGTTAAAATTGCTTCAAATGGTGCTGACAATCAATGGTGACAGTGATGACACTGGTAATGAATGATGACAGCAAAATATTTAGTTTTATGATTTTGCTGCGGATTTCGCCTCGCACCTTTCATTTGGGATGGAGCTCTCTGGGTTTTTTTTCTATCAACTCTCGTGTGACTATGACTAATTCTGAATTAAAGGCTTTTTCGTCTTTGAATTCTGACTTGTTGCACCAACTAATCCTGGCACATCCCGTAAAGCATCAATTTATGAATATTTTCTATTTTCAGATTGATGAGAGTTCAACAAAGAATCTCCAAAGGCTTCGAGGTATTCGAATACTACGCTAACAACCAATGGGAATTCGACAATGAAGAATCGCTGAGAGCTCGAGAAATTCTGAATCCGCGGGAAAGGCAGATCTATAAAGTCGATGGGGATGGTATTGACTACGTGGACTATTTCACGGATTGCGTCCATTGCACCAGGCTGTTCATCCTCAACGAACCTGATGATACTATTCCCGCTGCGAAGAGGCATATGAAGATGTAAGTCTTGTTTCAAATGTACAGTTTGCGAAAATTCAGAGTTTGCCTCTTGTTAGTCTACCAAGCAAGGATACAAATTGCTTTAAGATCAAACAAGCCTAAAATACTCTTTTGCGTCAAGTTGGATCTTTAATTTAGATACTCGGCAACCTCAAAATTGATAATTTTATAAGCAGCTGTCATGACCATTTCTAGAAATCGACGAGACGCTTGAATGGCAAAGTATTTCCTCAAACTTCAGTATACACCTAGGAAGCAGTATTTTGGTCAAGTTTTTCAGGTATCTCGAATCATTCTGAACAAAAAAGGTCCTTAGTAACTTTTCTCCAAAGTTGACTGTTATTTTAAAGTTATATTCTTGAACAACACATACCTCAAGTTATAAACTAACTTAATTCGAATCCTTCAGTTTCAAAAGAGGCCCTTTAATGCTGGAATTCCCAAAATTGTTTGTCGTAAAATAAATAAGGAATCTATATATGTATCTATAAACAGGGTAAAAGATTTGTCAAGGAGACAACTTTTTAATCAGACTTCACCCCCTTTCACCCTCTGCCACCAGGGTCATCCCTTTAAAACTTTTGAATGATAAGGGGTATATGAGACAGCTATCTTTGGCACAGCGGCAAGAAATAAGCTATGAGAGTGCTCTTTCGACTTTTAATCTGAAGCTGTAGCTACTGAGTATCATTTTCAGTTCCTGATTGAAATTGAAAGTTTAAAGAACACTCCCATAGCTTATTCCTTGTCGCTGTCCCAAAGATGACTGTTTCCTAACTAGTTATTGATGTATGATATATATATATATATATATATATATATATATATATATATATATATATAGGTGAAAAATTATAGCTTCCGCCTTTTGTTGGGTACTTCGACAAAATTTAAGCAAAGAGGACTCTTTATACTTTTTTAATTCTCTCTAGCTTTCAATGGACTTTGCCATCATCATCAGGAGCTGCAGTTACAATGATAACAGTAACAACAAAAGTGTAAAATGAATTTAAATTAAATCAGCTTACAGTAGTATGTGAGGATGTTGCTAATTGTTGTTTTCGTATAGGATAAGGGAAACGTCCAGTAACATGGTGAGAGCTGGATACATGGTACAATGGTTAAAATTATATAAAATATGACAAGACAAGTTGAAGACAGATTAAAAATTATTTAGAAAACATTAGAGCATTACGTCGTGAAGCCACTTGATGATTGCACAAAATGGTGGTCATGGAATAATGAGTGAGATGAACCTTTGACAGAAGGACGAAGGTTGTCAATGTCTGTGTTGAAAGATGGAACAAATTGTGGGCGTGTGCCAAAACGTTGCCAAATCACTTCAGATGATGTGATTTTCAGAATGTTATGTAAGAAATTGTTAAACCGACCAGAGGCAGTTGAATAAACTATATTTTAATTAATGGGAATTTTAAATTAACAATTATTAATAAATCGTGAGAAGAGAATTATTACATTTTGAGTGGAATGAAATTTGTTGGTGGAATCGGCCAAAACACAGATTATATTTATGGTTGTGAAAAGTCGAAATTTGGGGAGATATGTAAGTTCTCCAATTTTTCGCAGTTTAGCAAATATGAGTAAATTACACTCAGTTGTTTAATATCTGTCTTTTTGTTGATACAGTTGTTATTCATGAAAATGTGGGACATTTCCAGGAATAAACGTTTGGAAAGGGTTTTTCTTTATAAAATTGGAGAACTTACATATCTCCCCAAATTTCGACTTTTCACAACCATAAATATAATCTGTGTTTTGGCCGATTCCACCAACAAATTTCATTCCACTCAAATTCTAATAATTATCTTCTCACGATTTATTATAATATATATAATAATTTAAAATTCCCATTAATTAAAATATAGTTTATTCAACTGCCTCTGGTCGGTTTAACAATTTCTTACATAACATTCTGAAAATCACATCATCTGAAGTGATTTGGCAACGTTTTGGCACACGCCCACAATTGGTTCCATCTTTCAACACAGACATTGACAACATTTGGCCTTCTGTCAAAGGTTCATCTCACTCATTATTCCATGACCACCATTTTGTGCAATCATCAAGTGGCTTCACGACGTAATGCTCTAATGTTTTCTAAATAATTTTTAATCTGTCTTTAACTTGTCTTGTCATATTTTATATAATTTTAACCATTGTACCATGTATCCAGCTCTCACCATGTTACTGGACGTTTCCCTCATCCTATACGAAAACAACAATTAGCAACATCCTCACATACTAATGTAAGTTGATTCAATTTAAATTCATTTTACACTTTTGTTGCTACTGTTATCATTCTAATTGCAGCTCCTGATGATGATGGCAAAGTCCATTGAAAGCTAGAGAGAATTAAAAAAAGTATAAAGAGTCCTCTTTGCTTAAATTTTGACGAAGTACCCAACAAAAGGCGGAAGCTTTAATTTTTCACCTAACTGGTCTAGACGACAATGACCACGTCTCAAGTTATATATACAGGGTGACTTTGAAGTTGAGTCATTAATTTTCAGATAATGATTGTAGAAGGAAGATAAACCAAAATATGTGTGTAAAAATAAAAAAAAAAATAAAAAAAAAATGTTACCTTGTTTAATAAAGTATCCTCCCGACAAGTATTTCAGTGCGGACCTGTATTTGATCGTGCGGTCTTGGAGCAGCATGCCCTCACCTGTGAGGTCTTAAGTCACCTGATTCACGAGCCCTTTGTACTACATTAACAAAGGCACGAGGGGTTGGTTGCACTAGATTGGGAAACCGATTCGCATAAACCCGTAATGCATCCGGGAGCATTTTGTAAAGACTGCCCCCCCCGTAAATAAGAATCATGTCCACAAGTTCAGCATTTTCGTAAACATGTGCCATTTTTGATTTCGTTTGAGCCACGCAACACACTACTATTCACTTACGCGTTATCGACTGACGAAAAACATCGTGATAAACGTTTCAAATTCTTTCGCTTTTTTGTTTCCGATGCGATGAACCGGTCAGGCGGATTATATCCGTTGTCGCCAAACACGAGCATATAATAGGCAGAGCGGTACTCAAACTTCCAAAGGGCTATAACTTTGTTACTTTAATTTTACCAGAAAAATGGCAAAGGAAAAAAACATTTCTTTTGATCAGATCTACTCACTGTTAAAATAAATGACTCAACTTCGAAGTCACCCTGTATATATATATACAAAATTTGAGGTCAGAATGAAGGTCATCATTAGATGTGCCATTAGGTATCCTGCAATTTTCACATTAAAAGTTCTTGTATAATATTCATTTTCCAGCTATCCACTGCTTCACAAGATTCCATGAAACAGTAACAATTGACCTTGAAATAACCTCGCGATGTAATTCTAGCCCCTATGATATTCATACCGTTGAAGAGGAATTTTTTGAAACATCAACTTACCTTTGAAATGACCTTGAAGGTGAATGTCAACGTCAAATCCAAAGGCACCACTACATGTGTCATTTGATTTCTTAAAACTTTTGTATTTAAAGTTTTTTCTAGCATCCTTAGATTCCGAGATATTTGGGTATATCCGCATGTTTGGGACATCCTGTAGATTCATTGCAAGTGGGTTAGTGGAGGAGCATAAAACCTTTCTAATAAATGTTCAATTCTTTTTTACAGAATGTTCGTTGTAGATGTTCTTGTCAAGACCCTCTTCACCCTAGGAATGCTCTACCTGCTTTATACGAAACTTGTTAAGCCTTATTATGGATGGGAATGACATTTACCAGAATCCTGAACATATTGTTGTTTTATAAGAATTTTGTAATGTATGTATATTTTTTGAAGGCATCCAACAAAAAAATTGTGTGTAGGTGCAAGAGAATGTATTTTACGTGTATCATTTTTTTATTTTTGATAGTTTATGATTTATGATGGACTAAGGAATGTTAATAAAAACTAAAAACGTACATGTGTGTTTGATTTACTAGCAAAACTTTGTGGGGTAATAATGTAACCCCCTTGTAACTGTGTCCTTGAAAATATACTTTCGCCAAATTAGGCAGCCAGAGTTACACCTGCGAGAGCGACTGCGTTCACCTGCCTGAGCGATCGACAGAACTTTTGGCTGCCATCAAGAGCTTTCGAGAAAAATCGCCCCAATGTTCGGGATAGTTTCTAGATTCGTCGATTTCAAAATATATGGGTGCGATGACAGTGGAAGAAGGACAGTAGTAATGTGCTTTCTGGTTCATTTCGGTGAACTAATAATAGGGGCTCAGTAAAACGAACTATACTGAGTGACAAAAAAAAGTAAACAACTATGTATGTTTAGTAGAGTTCAAGATTTTTTTACATATCGATTTATCTTGCCATGAAAAACAAGTGATAAGATGGTCAGGTTTTTGTGGTGGCTGCGTGTATTTTTTGGTTATAAAGAGGCATTCAGTTTTCGTACATTTACGGTGTCTGTTAAATGTTAAATTTCGTGTAGCTTATTGAAAAGCCTTTTTGTGATTGTTCAAAATGACTAGAGTGCGTAAAATTCGCCGGTTGTTCCAGCTAAGTGACTTTGAGAGGGGTCGAATTTTCGGGTTGCGTGAAGCCGATCTATCGATAAGAGAAGTTTTTAGGAGGACCAACAGATCCTTACGCAGTATACCGGAGTGTAAATAAGTGTGGACTCAGGAAGGCCGAAGACAGCGAGCGAGGGGCTCTGGACGTCCCAGAAGGACTACAGAGCGACAAGACCGCCGGTTAAGATTTCTGGCTCTGAGAGACAGATTCAATAGTACTCGAGCCATTGCTAATCAGTGATTTGAAGAGCATGGAAGGATGGTTGGTATGGAACGAACACACAGTTTGGCCTTTTTTCTTATCGCCGACAATGGGTGCTACCTCTCACAGCTGAACATCTGCATAACCGTTTGCTCTGGTGTAGAGAAAGAATTCGAAGGAAGCGTCATTCTTTCACTATTTCCAAGAAGGCATGTCTATAAATCTGACTCTTAGTCGACTTTAGGTTAGGAACAAATTTGGGTATCAAACAGCCCATATGAAGGACGGAGAAAACTGTTTTTCCATAAATGATCATTTATAGAAGCCATTCCAGCTTTTAACCGACCTTAGACTTTCTGTACGGTAATTGGTTCCAAAGATATCGATGATCAAAGCCAAAATGGACTTTTTTCATTAAAAATACCTCGGCAAGAGTTGGTTGTAGTGAGGTTCTGAAGAAAGAAAACGGAAACTGAATAAACAGGCTATTGAGTACATGCAATAGTTTAGCGCAAAACATTCTTGTAGGTCCGTGGACCTAAATAACGAAATACAAAAAATCTCATTTTTCTCATTCACACCATATCCAGGGATTGCGATGAAACTGCAGCTTGAAAATCTGTTCACAAAAAGAACTAAAACCTAGACATTTGAAGCTTTATAATGCTTTCTATAGAACCTAAATACGACTATTTTACGTCCCATGCCTACTGGCGGGGAACTATTGTAATCGCGAATAATTGAGATAATACGTTTTTGGATGTTATATGACATGTACATCACGAAAAACCGTCACTCATTTCCATTTGTCTGTCAGCCTGTCTGTCCGCTAATCATATAACCTATAGCTTTAGAAGTATCGCTCGGATTTAAGTAAATGAAAATTTCCAACAACCACTCACCTACCGACAAAAACTGTCCATCGTACAAATATTATCAGGAACAACAAAACTTAAGGATACTTTTTTAAAATTGAAGTTCATCTTTTACTACTCCTATCTCTAAAGAGGACCTAAAAATGTCAGTAAATAAATACATGAATGATTTCCAAATTCCAAGTATTGCAACAAATATAGCACAAAACGTCGATGAACTTAATTTATGTACACAAAATTCTGATGCAAAATTTCGAATTTTTAATATGAACATAAGGAGTACTTATAAAACACAACATTGATTACTTAAAAATACTACTCGACCAAATATGGTACAATTTTGATCTAATAGTTTTAACTGAAACGTGGCAAGTGGTTGATATTTCTTGCTTCAATCAGCAGGGATATGACACGCTGTATAACTTTGGCACTTATAACCAAAACGATGGGGTGATAGTTTTTGTAAGAAATGAACTGCAATATAATCATGATACATTCACTTTCACCGATGGAATCAAAATTTTAAACATAATGATCCAAATTAACCATAACAAAATTGAGGTATCTGCAATTTATCGTCCGCCATGTTCAGAACCCCACGAGTTTTTAAAGAATATCGATTTTTTTTTTCAAAATCAAAATAAAGTTCATTTAAAGCAACATATTTTCTTGGGAGATGTCAATATAAATATTTTGGACAATGATCCCATCACAAATGAATACTTGAATATCCTATCAAGTAACGGATTTCTGTCCTATATAAACCTACCTACAAGGTCCATCAGTGGCACATGTATAGATCACTGCTTTGTGAAAGACCTATCCAACAAAATTACTTGTATACCAATAATCCTACAAAGCGATATTACTGACCACTTCTCCACTATTTTACTGATATCTTCAAATGAAAAACATTCTAACATCCCTACCGTTAATAACAACCAGAAAAATTACAAATTTTTTGTCGACAATTCAAAACTAATATCAAATGTCAAACAAGAATCCTGGGAACAATTATAATAATAAATAATATAGACAAAGCAATGGGACTGTTCATAGAGAAAATAAAAAAACTAATAGATATTAGTACCAATAAAGTAATAATTAGTCACAAAGATAAAAGCAGAAATGCCTGGATTACCAAAGGATTAATAACATCGGCAATAGAAAAAGAAAGACTATATAATGTAATGAAACTAACGCCAACTACAGAGAATACCGACTGCTACAACCAATATAAAAATAAATTTATAGAGCTTGTAAGGCAAACCAAACGAAAACATTACCTAAATAAATTGAATAATAACTTAAATGATCCTAAGCGGCTTTGGACAACTATTGATGAGATTACTGGGAAAACAAAAGTTAAAGAGTGTGTCACTGAGTTTAATTCAACATCGGGAACAGTATTAAAAAATACTCAACAGATATGCGATGAATTTGTACAATTCTTTACTGACATAGGCGAAAATTTAGCAAGTAATATACAAGCAAATGTACAAAATACTCAGCCTCCAAGAAGAACTTTGAACTCATTTATTTTGGATAATGTCGAGCAATGTGAAGTATACACCACTGTTATGTCCTTAAAAAATCGGAAAAGTCCTGGGTTCGATGGTATTAAAAGCGAGCATTTGAAAATTATTGCCGAAGACATAACAGAACCACTCACTTACCTAATCAACAAATGCTTTGAATCTGGCATATATCCCTCAATTTTAAAAAAAGGTAATATAATACCGATACATAAATCAGGAACAAAAACAGATGTTAACAACTATAGACCAATATCAATAATATCCAGTGTAGCAAAGGTTTTTGAAAAAGTTTTATCTACTAGAATGATTCGATACCTCACAAAATTCAAAATTTTAAGTGAAAATCAATATGGATTTACAGAAGGGAAGGCTACATCGGACGCAATAACTAAAATTGTAAATCAAATATATCAAAATATTGATAACAGAGTCCCTTCAATCTGCATTTTTGTTGATTTAAAGAAAGCTTTCGACACAGTTAATCACAAATTATTATTAGAAGCATTGGAGAGAATTGGTTTCAGAGGAAACGCGTACTCACTGATCGAAAGTTATTTGTCAAATCGCCCACAATCAGTGCAGATATCAGGATCATTTAGTAAAGAAATGTATATTAAGTGTGGTGTCCCACAAGGAACTGTTTTAGGTCCGCTGTTATTCAATATATATTTAAATGATATTTTCCAAATTAATTGTGTTGGCAAAATAACTAGTTTTGCAGATGATACTGCAATATTATATGAAGGCACTGACTGGTCTGATCTGAAAAATGTAATTGAAAATGATTTTATCAAAATTATTCAGTGGTTTAACAGTAGAAAATTAAGCATTAACTACTCTAAAACACATTTTTTACCATTTGGATCTTATGCTAGACATCTGCCAAATTACACAAATTTCTCCTTCAATATTAATGATCAAAAAATGCAAATTAATAGAGTGCCTAACATAAAATACCTTGGAGTGGTCTTGGATCCTCACTTACGATGGGACATCCATGTCAATTATATTTTAAAGAAAGTTAGATTTGTATCCTACAAAATTAAATACCTTGGGAATATATTGACAGAAAAATATCTTCGAACATTATACCATGCACTGATTGAGCCTCATCTCACATATGATATATTAGCATGGGGAGCTGCATGTTCCTCACATATCTATAATTTAGATGTTTTTCAAAAAAGTATTCTAAAAATGATATTTAAAAAACCGAAACTTTATCCCACTGAAAAATTATACGCAGATGTTCGAATGTATGATATAAGACAGCTTTATTTCTTACACAGTATCACTCACTACCATAAATTTGTAAACACCGACCAAAAAATTAAACATAATCATTATACCAGGTACAAAATTCGTGGCACAGTAGTTCCTCAACCGCATAAATCTATAATGCAGCGATCATATCTCTATTTAGCGCCTAAATTTTATGAAATTGTACCTAAAGACTTAAAAGATTTACGTTTCGGAAATTGTTTCAAAAGAAATTTAAAAAAGTGGCTACATTCTATATCTATTACTGAAATTCATAAACTCATAAATACGAACATCAACTAAATACATAATCTACTGTAGCTAATTTTTGTCCTTTTTTGTCATTTGCATTCTACAGTTTCAACTTAAATTATTGGTCCATGTACAGGCGATGCCTTCTATTGGGCCTGTTTTGATTTTATATTTATTTACTCATATTGTTTGTTATCTTTGTACATTGAGTGAATAAATATTATTATTATTACTATTATATTACTATTCAAAGGACAAAAAAGT